ATGGATCTAGTGACAGTTAGTCGATTGGTCAGCAATAACTGAAGACTTCCTCTTCCTACTGTTATTTAAGTTGCGCGGAAACATTCTCTCTGATCCTCCGAACCCAGCCTTCTTTATCTCATCTTCCTACCTATTACATTTACCCGGAAAAAAAGAATTCTGCTCGCTACAGCATTAGTTCTAGTCACGCTAACTAGTTATATCACCTTGAGTAAAAATGTCTGTGGCTGAAAAATGAAAGGCTAAACTTCTGAAGTCCCTCGACTGGAATTGAGCCGAAAGTTTACTCTTTAGGTCTGGTTCCCGGGGGGAGGGGGGAATACTCTAGCCGGATAGGGTACCGATTTTGGCTGGGTACCGATTTTGGTTGGTCATAGATAGGATATGGTTTTGCATTCTAGTCTTGAATTGGAAATGTGTTTTTGGAAGAAGCTACTTTTTCATCATTATCGATGAGACCATCATCAAAAGCCCCTCATAAATTATGTTTAGGGCAACTGTGCCAGCTTCAACGGTCATAAATACGGTATCGAATTTTTTGGTTTGGTCATAAATAGGGTAGGGGAAAATCGCAGATTTTGGTTGTAAGGGTTTTGGGAAGCGGACCGCACACGCCCACCCAATTTTTCATGCAGTACCCCCCGGTCCTGGTTACTCGTCCACTTTTAATCTCAACTAGTTATGTCAGCATAAAAGTGAATTCAAACCCATATACAATTTCCTTGGCATTTTCCCACAATTGTGGATGATTTCTAGAACGTTCAATATTGCGGAAGCCCTTATCCTGTTAACGAGGGAAAATGAAAACATTTGATACTTTGATTCTAGAGAAAAACAAATATAATGAACAGTTCGTCTGTCAGCTAAAAGGTGATCAATATTATTTTTTCATGTCCGGAGTTGAACTCGATCTGACTAGAAAGGAGTGTAGTTGTCGCGCTAGCAAAACTATCAATAATGAAAAAGATCAATAAAAATCCCAGAGAAGCTAACTTTTGTAGCCTGCAAAAAAGGAAATAAAAAAAAAAAAAGACCACTCTCTCCTCAACTCACAAGTCACTTTCATGGTTATTGTCATTATTGAGCGAGATCTGTCAGGATACAGAGGGGGTTGGAGGGTGCGGCTATGTGCAGTTAACACCCGATAGCTCAAACCTTCAAGGGAAATTGAAAAATTAAAAGGATCGAGTTATCGGGAGTTCAAGCTATCGGGAGTTGAGGACAAACGACCGAAAATAAGGGGAAAAAATGGCGTTCACTGTATAGTTGTTATACAGTGTACATCAAATTTGATTATAGAGAAGCTGAGTGAGAATGGTACAATATTTAAAAATTACCGCATAAATGAAAACGTCTAAACGTAATGGGAAATAAAAGAAAGCAAAGCAAAGCTGCAGGAGAAGTGTACTGCGAACTTTGCAGCGAAAGAGAGCAACGTCGGGCTGCTGCTACAGGGTTCATGTGATTTACTTTTTATAGAAATAGTTTCAAAGTTTTGTACTACAATACTGATTGCTTTGAGTTGTGACGTATTGACGAACATAGTTCGGATTATCGAGGATAAAAGTACACAGAACATGACCTGAGGCTTCGACTTAGCAGGAGGTTCGAGTTATCGATGGTTCGAGTTGCTGGGGTAAAATTACAGTAAACGGATAACGGAAATCAAAAGGAAATTGATTTTGGTTCAAGTTAGCGAGGGTTTGAGTTATCGGGAGTCGAATCTATATACATAGTAAACTCAGGAGCCCATAATGGGCACCTGGTAAACTTCACAACTCACAAATGTACAGAGTAGAAATAAATCTAACATAGCCAAAGCGGAAGTTGTTGAAAGCTGCAACTGTGCTATTTTGTTTTGAAAGTGCCTTCAGGATTTGGCCGCGTGGTAACTAAAGGGTTGGTCGGAAAAATTAGAAATACGGTATTATAATGATGCGTGATTTTAGGAAGGGCGTTAAGCAGTTCGGCGGAAACTTCGGCGGAAATATTTTTACGGCACTGAAGCGCCTCCTAAGGCACTCCTCTTTTTGTAGTTTAAACGGAACGCGAAAAATTTAAAAGACGTTCAGAACGCTTTTTCATTTTATATCCCTACAGGACAACCGAGAGGTGTTATTTAGCGCGATCTCTTTCATTTGGCCGACTGAAATTAGAGAAATGAACGGAAACTTCAACTAGAATCTTCACTTCGCGTCCAGGAGGCGTGACAATCACGCATAAGGCTTGACACCATCTTTTGACGATGTCACGCGATACGGCGCAAACCTTCGATTTTTCCAACCTTTCGATAACCATAGCCAAAAGTCGTTTACTTTCGCTCAGTCAGACATTGTGATTAATCCCCCGATTTCTCAAACTACCCAGTGATTTTAAAACCAACTTTGGTTTGTCTATGAGGTTTAAGAACTAGGGTTTCTACGGTACATGTGATGTGAAACCCAGTATCTCGAAATCTGGAGAACGTCACAAAAGAAACAAAATGACACCCATTGTACTGTTTATTTACTGTTTATTAAGCCTTAAACTTTTTTATCGTATCTGATAATAAAGTTCCTCCCGTTAAAGCTATTCTTACGTCGATTCCTCTCCGATGCCAGCTTTGCGATCCCCGGCTTACTGCTCAACCTGTGAAGAAAAATATTGACATATTAGTAGTTTGGCTACCTGTAAATACTGCTTTTTCTTTAGGATTTCACATTTTATTGTTTAGTCTTTGGTATCTCAAAAGGAAGTACTTCGATTTGTTAAGTATATTTATTGTGTGGCAAAATAATCAGAAACTGACAGTATCAATGTTATCACTCTTTTTCAGTTGGCGCCATAATTTTTTTATTAAACAATTGCCCAATCATTGCTAAACAAGTTGAGGTCATTTTCGAGATACAAAAGGTTACCATAGGCCGGCACTTATCTCCGGTTTCTATGCAGAGTGAAGCAACCAGGAGATTCGAATTACTGATATTCGAACTGCTTTTAATTTCCCCCGGGAGTTTGAGTTATACATTTTACCGCTCCACAAGGTCACGGACAGCACATCTTAAAAATCATTTTGCTGTTTAGGAAAAAATTCTTTTCAGGCCTCCTTCTTGAGGTGAAAGTGAACAAAAAAGACCTAGCCTGCGTAACAAGCATCCCCGTACGAAGATCTTTTCCGCATTGCTCCAATTTACGCGCGGTCAGGATGCGGAAAAGCTCTTTATACAGAAACGTCTACGCAGGCTAAACTAAGACCCAAAATATCGTGACCAAGCTCCTTTAAATTAAGGTCTTGAAATTTCCTGAAATAAACGAAGGTACCTCAGATGAACGGGGCGGCCCGTACAGCTTATGATTGTCAGGGCTTAACGAGGATATATGGTTATTTATTCTGCACAGATATTCCACCTACCTTTCAAAAGGTTGCTTTCACGCGATACAACAAAAACAAGAACCACATATTGATATGCAAGGGCATCTACGTTTTTCTCTTTCCCGCAGACCTTCAATATCCTGTGACGACGGCATTGATTGCTGAAAGAAATATATATTAAATAAAAATATAGAGTCAAAAATTTAACTGATTCATTGAATAACTTGTTGCGAAGACATTAAACAAAGATGAGGATTTGGCGTAGATGTGTGAACATTTAAATGCGTGGACGGGAATAAAATTGTGATTATAGTCGAACCGCACCGCACTCAAGCGGCCAGCTTTTAAATTCCCTATTCTCCATTTCCCGTTTCCCACTCCCTATTCCCCTTGCAGTAACAAGAGGAAAGGTTCCCTAATTTTAAAGAACCTGGCTCGCCGCAGGCCAAACAGTTGATAAGCAAAAAACAGCCTGAATTGAAAACAATTAGGGCAAACCTGGAAAAAAAATTATTACTTTATTTTTTTTTTTAATTCTATTTATTTATTAACGCACAACAAGACACTGCTGAACCTGCTTACAATGCAAACTGCTACAAGCTAAAGGACAATTTGATTTCTATCATTACTTACAATATTTTCATTTAACCTACTTATTTACAAAATCAGTACTTTATGGAGCATCAAAAAAGTGTTCGATCTGAAAAGGAGGAAACACCTTCTAGAGCGTATGGCATTATCTTACAGAAAATTAAAGTGCTTAATGGCGGGGTTAAGGTGGCTGGCAACAGTTTCCAACACTTCCAAGACTTAGACTTTGTTGAGTCGTTATAACCACTCTTCATCAGCTGACGCTAAATTCATGGTATTGAAAAATCGACTGGAAAAATCGAAGAGAACCGAAACTTGTTTGAAATCATGCAAGGTGTCGCTGCGATCCACTCCAGGATGAGCGGGAACTTCAAACAATTCTGTTCGCTTGTTTGGGTCTACCTCCATGTTCTCGTTGTATTCTATGGAGTTCCATCCCCGCCAAAAATCAAAGTTGATCACAACATTCAACTTGACAGTCTAACAATTAACTTGGCAAACATCAACATCATATTTCACNTCCTCAACTTTGTACTTTGTATCACAATCATTGAAACTTTAAACATCAACTTTCAAAGTGACAGTTCAACGTTCAACTTTGTCCATCAACATTCATGTTAACATGTCAACAATGATCTTGACACTTGGGCTGTCAGCAAAAGATGAAGTTTGAATCTCCAAGTCGAATGTTGAGTCACCA